GGCATATATATGTAAACTAATAAAATAAAAGTGAAAAATCAAAATCAGAGAAAGATGAAGGATAATTATAATAAAAATTTAGGGTAATAGTTTTACTATCAGTACATGTAAAATTTAGCTCTAAATTTCTCGGTGTCAAGAGAAATGCTTACTAAATGCATAATTAAACACTAATAATTATGCGGGGCCCCTTTTAAATATTAACAATGCTTCACACTGCTTTAACAAGGGATTTTCAACCTCATCTCTTGAACATGAAATATACCACCGTTAAGATGACAAATGTATTTTTTAAATGGGGTTTGCTATCGCATAAAACTTTGCAATGTGCTTTTTTCACTTAACAAAATCATGGCTGCTTCCGAGCCAATACATAATTAAATGCATAAACAATAATTACTGTTGTGCCAAAATAGAATTTCATGGTCTCCATATACAGAATCACACACCTTTCCAAATAAAATTATATGAACGTATTAGTGACTACTTTTGAAAAGTGTATATCAAGAAGTGAAGGTAGCCACTTTCATACACTTTGCTTATGGGAGTCTGAATTTCAATAACATTTTTGGGAACTAATCAGTATATATCTTAAAATGTTAAAAATAATCCAAATCACCATTTGGCCATGAAAACCAGAGTGCTCTACAGAAACGAAAGCTTCAGTGCACAAGGTTACAGGTTCGAATGCATTTAATGCAGCAATTCCACAGCAAAAAACTAGAAACAATCTACACTCTTATCAACAAGGAATGACTGAATAGCACATCTGTACTACGAAACAATATATACCTAGTTTAAAAATCACTTAGAAATATATGTATCAACCTGGAAATAAATCCACGATTTTAAGTCAAAAAAGGCTGTTGCAGAGTTTAATGCAACAGCATATCCCATTTTAAACACATGATATGGAAAGACACACATCAGATTGTGAAAAATGAATACATGGGCTGAAAGTAGAGGAAGGGAAGGGGAAAATTATTAACTTTCTTTATACATCCCTGCACTGACATGAGCATGTACTATTCTAAAATATTCAAAGTAGAGAAAATAAAGGACCAATAAATATTTTAAAAGCATTTTTATGTACAATTCTGATACAAAACAAGTTAAAGGATAAACAAAAAGAACTCCCCATTCATAACGTTTCCAACATTACTTACATATTTACCAATATGAGGGGAACATCACATGAATATCATAAGATCAGCCTCAAAATACGAACAGAAAACACCCCAATAATCAAGGGTATTTTTTTCTTTTTGTTTTTTCATATAGTTTGGTTCCTTACTGTGTTCACTTATGCACTATGACTAATCCTTTCACAACTGTTCTATAGCTATTTTATTCTAATCCTTAGAACACATAATGTTACTGTGCAATTTTTACATAACTGATTCAAGACAACATAGGAAAAAAAGCAACCCACTAAATATTTCACGTGATTTAAATTTTGATCCTCACTGTTGAAATTAGTATTTTTTTTTTTTTTACATGCAAAACATCTTGTAAAAATACCAAAGCGAAGGCAGAGTGCTTTTGTGATTCCAATATATTTGTGGAGCATCTACTAAGCACAAAACCTTGTGTTAGATTTGGACAATATAGTGATGATCAAAAACAACACTGTCCCTGCCTTCATGAAACTCAAGAACAGAAGAACTGCTGTGATTTGCTTATAGACCCAGTAAAGTGGAATGCTACTTGATTTGTCAGTTCAGTGAACATAAAATTTTGGTAATCTAATTAATCTAATCTAATCTAATCTAAAGAAGTGGTCAATTTCCTTTCCTCAACAGTAATACAACTTGTGAAAATAATCTTCCCATTTCTGGAACCCACTTTAAAAAGCCTCACTATTGACAAGCGATTTAATGTCACACTTTTAAACAAATAATATGAATAAGGAAAAAAATGGATTCCTGAATGTGTCAAGAGAAAAAAAAAATGTTTCAGCTAACTATGATAGTATGCCATGAATAGGAAATAAAGTACTCCAATACCACGCCTCTGTTCAGAGAAGGAAAATATTTAGGAAGGAAAAAAAAAACATGCACTTACTACTACAGTTAGGAAGATCAGTAATATTGAAAATGTACTGATGTGATATGATGTCTGAGATTTCCTTCAAAATAATTTGGTGGAGAGGGTACAGGTGTACGTAGATGAAACAACATTCATCGCTGTTGACACTGGCTGACAAGTACATGAAGGCTCAGCATACTATTCTATACTGTATATGTTTAAAATCATCTAGAGTACAAAGTTTTTAAATAAAGTGAAGAACATCTCTGATACCTCTATTTGCACATTGCTGTCTCCACTCACACCTGACATTTTTAACCACATAAAAATATTTCAAGCTTTTTTAACAAATGAAGCATCTCTCAATAGCCCTGGTTTTAACATATTTTACTTACCTTAACCAAAGGTTTCCTCTAATAGTACAATATCTCACTAAGATTATGCAAAGATATTTAATACTGATAAATATCAGTTGTAGGAATTGTTGCATAGTTGAAGCATGCCACAACTATGACGTTTAACATAAAATGTAAGTAGCAAAAACTTTTAAGAATGCAGCTTTAATTCCAAGGAATTTTTAGGTTATTAGAACCTAAGATTTTACACCTTTAAAATAATTGTCATTTACAGAATGCCCAAAATATGCCAACTACTTTCTAAGCAATCTCTAACCCTAAAAACTCATTGTACAGATGATATAAACCACTAAAGAGAAAGGCTCAGGTCTAACTCTACAGCTCTCCAAAGTCACACTCCTCTCATTTATTTAACAAATATTAAACTCGCTACATGCCTGGCACTGTTATAGTAAGCAAGGGGGCACTTACTACATGCCAAGCTAAGTGCTAAAGGTTTTTAATCCCATTTAATCCTCACAACTCTAAAATGTAGGTATAGATTAGGACACTGAGTTTGAGAGGCTAATATGCTCAGTCACTTAACTAGAAAGTCAAAGTACACTACATTGCCTCAAGGCATCACCAAGTAAAAGAGGCTAAGAGAAAAAAATTTGTAAAGTCTCGTGGGAAGGAGTAGAAGTCAGATTACTGCAAAGTTAAGTTTGTCCTCAATAACTACATCTAAATAAAAGGCAGTTGTGATAGTAATGAAATGAGTAGTAAACTTTGCGAGAGTTCAAATCTGGGCTCTGACACTGGCTGTGGGGGCCACCAGGAAGGCACTTGCCCCCTGGAAACCCCCGTTTCTTCTTTAAATATAAAATGGAAATTCTGCCATCTCTCCTGTGGGGTTGTAAGAATGTGGACTGGCAGGGTAGTAGCTGACATGGCAGACTTTGGGTTATGAAGGAGCAATCAGCTGTCATTCAATGCAAAAATAGGAAATAAGCTTATAGCTACCTTTTAAACAGTCATACCAGTAACCTAGCCCAACTTGAGTGTTGGTAAACACCAGCCACAGCCTAGGGAGAGGCCAGTTTGCATGCACCATCCTTAACTGGCCACACTACAACTTCAAGCCTCAGTTTCCTCGCTTGTAAAACTAAGATCGTTCGATTTATCACCAAGAGCTACATGAAGCAAGACACCTAAATCCTTGCCTGGCACACAGTAAAGTGCAAACCGTCGAAACACGCTTGTTCCTTCTTTTCTTCAATTCTAGAAATAGCCAAACTTTTGGTCTCCATTATTTGGGGATGCTATCTGGGCTCGGGGCCTTATCGGATGTCACGGGCCTTACAGGGACACTCAAATCAGAACCTCGCAAACACAGACCTAAAGACCCCCTCTCTCCAGCTCGAGTCCAGAGTCTACCCACGTCGACAAGGACACCGGCGCTAGTCCAAGATGCCGGCGAGGCTGCGAGATGCTGCCTTTTGTACTCAGAGCCAGACGCGGCCTATGGGACGGGGTGCCACGTCTGGGGCTCGTGGGCTGCAAGGCGGCGCGGCTCGCGTGGGTCAACACCGCGGGGGTGGTGTGCTGCCGCCGGGACCCGCAGCAAGGAAAGAGGAGTCTGCGGAGAGACCAGTACGCCCAGTCCGGCCGAGAAGGCGGGGAAGGCGAAGCCACACACACCCCACCCCGCACGCCTCGAAGCTCTCCGCTGGGCGGGGAGGACCAGCGGCTTCTGCGGGCGCAGCGCGGGGACGCCCTCGCC